CGTCGGAGGCATGTATACGATCATCGTATATTCATATGTTCATGCCTGAACACAATTGAATGGCATTAATTGTAAATATCAATGGGATAATATTTAATGTCGACTTAGATTTTTTTTTTTTTTTTTTTTTTTTTTTTTTGCACTGAAAGGAGTTATTTTTGTAATCTTTTGACAATAGAGTATTCAGCTAGGTTTTGATTTTCAGTTATTGAACTGCTTGCGAAATAATCTTTATTGTTTATAATAAATATATGAATATAGATGGCGCAATGTCTGAAATTAAGGATTTATTTTTAAGCAAGATCATACTTAGAGAGATATTTAACATTTGTATTGATAGACTTTCAGCGAATCGATGAATTTCTTTCAAAGCTTACATATTATTCGGACTTCCTACGAAATTAGTAGGAAGATTAACTTGACAATTTTGGCTGTCTGACTAAAAATATTACACATTCCATACATTTTTAATAAATATATAAGTATAAGAATATTTATTTAAATTGTTTTCAACTGCCGCCAAGCAGTGCATCTGTTATCACATGACTCTGCTTTCACATAAAGTCGAAGTCGAGGTCAATAACTTGACGGCACAATAAAAGCCTACAAGTGTAGCATTTAATTTTGACAATATATTGTCAAATTGGTGTATGGACAACCAATGAATATTGTATTCTTCATAAACAAAACCCAAAATAGCACAGTTCGCATGTGTTTCATTCTTTTCAATGAATAGAATATGCAACATTGTATCATCCAGCTCTAGAGCTCTTGAGCTGTATATAAACCAGAGTCGAATCTAGGGAAATTATAGAAGTACCTTTCGTCTTCAAGCAACTACATTCAACATGAAATCTGCGACTCTCCTCTTGCTTATCGTCGTCGGCATCTGTGCGCTTTCCAGTGCCAGTAGACCGAGGCGAAACTGCCCAACGATATGCACCCAGGACTACAAGCCCGTTTGCGCCATTTGGGCACGCGGTCGATTGCTCAGCAGGTGCACATTTTCCAATAGCTGCGCTTTGAGCAGACAACAGTGCGTCACGAAAGACGGTAAGCAAAAAGATTGACAAACAAAAATCCTTCAGATTTGCTAATTGCCTAATACGCATTCTTTCACTCAGATTGGATTCAGTTTCATGCGGGCAAATGCCGGAGGCAAACTAGGGATTGCTCGAGGCTCTTGAGAATCTAAGAATCCTTTGAGCTATACTATAACTCTAACAACCCTTTGCAACGGAATTGATTGTAAATACACAAATAATTTGTAACTGTACATCTGTTTACTGTGACTATTAAAAGCAACTGTATGCGGACTATTCAAGAGGTATCATTGTGTTGAAAGACTGTTGCTCTACTACAAATACAGAATGCAAATTTAGTAATTCGGTAAAGTAGCATGAATAGTGAAGCTCTGTGAGAGTGTGTCTCTTCCCATGATATACATATGCTACATATCTCGGTTAAATATAATTAGACTGTTCAGCTGCAAGTGCTGCACTCGAGATATATCTGCGCGTTTGTGAAGAATGTCGTCTATTGCTTAAATGGATTTTGCATTGCGTGTCTGGGCAATGTCTTGGGTGCTGCTAGTTGTTGTTTTTGTAATTATTTAATACTTACGCATTGTTAACATGTATCGTTGTCACCTGACACGCGTTTTACATGTCGCTCCATTTGAGGAAGTCGCTGTGCCCCTCTTTTGCGAGTGAGTCGCGAGACGAGAAATTTGCGTGTTTTGGCATTTAATTAACAAACCGGCTACAAACGCAATGCAATGTTAAATGTTAAGTTAAGTTGTTACTGTTACTGTTACAGTTGGAGTTGGAGTTGGAGTTTAGCTTATTTATTTATGCCCCGAGATGCGGTATCTGCTGCGGCTGCATTTTGTTTCCTGTTCGGAGCAACCCACCTCGCATTCGAACTCGAACTCGAATTCGAATTGGAATTCGAATTCGAATTCGGCTGGAGTTAGTCATATTCGGCGCCAATGGTTAGGCTGATGGCGCCGGGCTGCACAAATGTCTGATGATACCATCGGTTGGTATCGAGAACGACTGCAAAACAATTGTCTGGCAATCACATGGGCAGCACTATAATTGCAGTCGATACTCACTTATATCTCCCTGCTGCACCACCACATCGAAGCGCTTGCATTGAAAGTAGCATTCGGGCGGCGGCACCAGGAGCCAGCGCTTGCTGCCCGCCAGCTGGGCCTGCCACGACGGCAAGCGCACATTGTCAATCTGGCGGTAGTGGAGGAATGAAGAGAGAGAGATGGAGGGAGAGTTTGTTGCCTTACTCACATGCATTTGGGCGCCCAGCCCGGCGGTGCCAATGAAAAACCAATCGACTGCATTGTTCTCCGAGCGCTCGGGCAGGAAGTAGGGCCTGCCATAGTGTCGACGAAACTCCTCGGCCGTCTCCGCATGGCAGTTGCTCCAGCCGAAGTACCACGGCGACTCGTTCGGCTCCAGGTTGACGCGTGCCCGCGTCATGTCCAAGGCCTCGTAGATGTCCCGAAAGCCCGTCTTGTACGGCAGAAACTGGCAGTCGCGTATGCGCTCCTTGCGCTTCGCCTTGCGATAGACATCCCGAAAGTACCAGTAGTCAAAGAGCTGAATGCAAAGCGCATAAGCCAAGCGGAGAGTCGTATCAGTTCGTTAGCCCACTCACCGTTGTGGCTGTCCAGTTGTGCATGGCATCCGTGACTATGACGGGTGCTCCACTGTATGCGTACTCCGCCTCGAATTGGGCGGGCGTCAGATTGCTAAGGCGTGGCACACTTTGAATATTCGCACAAAAGTCACAGCGTTCGGGCGGGCGCAGCGCATAGCGCAGTGGGCGTGGCAGTGCTAGAGCACAGCGCTGTAAGTGCATTATATAAGTAAAGTAAAGTAAAGGAAAATAAAAATTATTTCTAGGAGAATATATATCCAATAATTCAGCGCATATGCCATCACCTGTCCCTGCAGCTCCGTTCGGTAGTAATTCAAGAAATATACGGCCAGCACGCATAGTAACAAGATTTTGGTCAGCCTGAGCAGCTTTTGGCTGCACCCAGAGGCCGAGCAGTGCTGCTGCCACAGCTGCTGCATGGTGGCACTCGAGTCGGCGCCGCGATGCGTCCACAAAATGCGCCTCAACTGGCTGCGTGCCTGCTCCATGTTGCCTCGGCCGAGTGGCGCAGTTGACTGTGGCCAATATTTCCGTTTCCTGCTCGGCTAGCGACATCTGGCCTGCTGCTCGAGTCGCTCGCCTGTCAATAACTCGATTATCAGACCCAGTGCAGACGGTGTGGTGGTGGTGGTGGTGGTTGAGTGTTTTGTGTGCGTGGTTAGCATGTGATAGCGACAAATTGTCTGAGATTGTCAATAGCATTCAATAATCGAATCGAATCCATTGCCTTTGTCATTGCAGAAATCCCTACAACACGGGCGCGGGCACTTGCATTACCTACGATGCCATCAATGCGGCCTACGCAGATGCCCGCAAGCGTATACGTAAGTAGAGGCACCACATTGCCCACACACATCGGCATTTAGACATATGTATATGTATGATACACTTTTGCAGGTGTGGCCGAGCCCAAGTCCGATTGGAAGCCCGAGGAGCTGGCCACCGTGGGCGAGCTACTGCTCGACATATCCATACAGTTGGCTCGCACGTAAGTAAATGTTACGTTAATAAATGCTAAACGCATTTGAAAGTTGCGCCTGACACGCCCACAGCCCCAATAAACGATTGCCAAATAACGCATGACATGGCACTTAAGTCGTGCTCGTGCTGCTGATGCTGTGGCTGTGGCTGTGGCTGAGCTCCGTCCAGACCGCCTGTAGTCATAAATATGTATGAGCTTAAAGCTGGAACTGAGCTGAACTGAACTGAACTGAACTGAACTGGTGCTGCGCCTGCTCTCAAGGTTCTGCAGCCTCAGATGAATTTGAAATTTGAAAGTTTGGCACATGCAAATGCTAATTGCAATGCCAAATTTGCTGTCGTCGTCGCTGTCGGTGGCTTTGACTGATGGCCACTTGGCCACCTGTAGCTAAGCTGTCGATGGGGCAACTGCAAACAGTCAGACGTCTTCAAACTGGCGCAACTGCATTTTTTTTAACCTGCTTCCAAAAATATGTTTTTTTTTTTCTTTTGCTCGCTGCGCAAAATGTAAACAAACGCGAATTATGCAATGCGTCGTCTGTTCGGGATGGCAGCCGCAGTGAGAGTGCGCGAGTGGCTGCCCCCCCTGGCAAGCAGAAGCCAGCTGAGGATGCAACAAAGTATTACCAGTTTTTCAGTTTGCAGTTTGCAGTTTGCAGTTGGCCAACTGTCGCTTGTGGGTAATCGTGCTGCCGAGTCAGTTGGTCACAGCAGCCGCTTCGCAGTTGCAGCTTGACTTTCTTTTTTGGCCAGCCTCCACCCCCTGCGCTCCTGCTCGTCTAATATGAATGCAAAGCTTGGCTTCGAGGATCATCAGTCGCAGCAGCTGCAGCTGCAGTTGTAGTTGTATAATCCTATGATTATACAGCCTCAGCTCCACATATATGTGAAGTAATTTGTATTCAAGTCGATGACATAAACTGAAGGATTAGAATGGCGAGTTTATGCTAACAGAGATATTATTAATAATACTGTCTGGAATCAATTTATTCAATATCATTATTGCTCATTGTTCAGACTCTCAGAGGTGTGCTCAAATTTCCAGCTCCAGCTGCGAGCTTTATTGGGGAAATGCACCGCTGAGTTCAAAGACTTAAGTCGCGGCTATAATATACAGTTTTTGATTAACAATTACTATTTGGGGTTTTACCAAAAAATTCAAATTTTTAAACAATAAATAACAGTGAAAAAATTACCTTAGCCGTCTGCCATTATCTATCCCACCCAATTCGAGATCTGTTATTTTGTAATGCCTTTTCGAAAGGTTTTAACGCTCTGCTGAAAGGTTTCCTTTTAATAGCCTCAAGTTTTTCTGGCCATTTCCTCAGTTGCTCTAATTTATGGACCTTCAGTCTGCTTAACTGCCAGCCCAATTGACTGTAAAATGTTGTTTTCTTTTTACTTTTGCCTTTTGTTTTCTTCTTTGACTTCACATCTGCCAGAGGCAGCAACAATAGCTCTGGCCTACCTTTGGCGCCCTTCCCAGTGCCGTTTTTCTCACTTTCCCATGCACTTGAGGAAGTGCCGGATGGTAATTTATATTGCAGCCGCCGCAGAGCTTTCCAGCACTCTGCGCTGCATTAGTTACAAGATAAGACGCGTTTAATTCACGGACCACAGGCCTCGCTGTCCGATTCCATTAAAAACGGCAACTGGCTTCAATTTTGTTTTTCTTTTCTGTCATTGATGGCGACGTCAAATCTCAAATATCAGCATCAGAGTCTGTCTCGGTAAGCCGGGCCAAAAGCGCGTTAATTGCCTGCCGCTTGCGAGTCGGGCTAATTCCATCGTTTTGCAATTCTCTGACAAGATTGAAAAATAACAGAGCTCAATGGAGAACCGCACGGGCTAAGCAGCTGGCGCGACAGGAAAACGCCAAGTTGGGCGATATCCGCAGCGAATATATATATAGTTGGCTATAATTTGTCAGCATTTAGCCATAGTTGGCATGGAACTGATTTGGCGTTTTCTCTTGCAGCTATGGCCTGTCCTATGAGGAAATCGAGAAGGGTCTGCCCACCATAGACACGTCGAAGACACTGATCCGTGAGGTCTGTCCGCCGTTCTTTGCGGGCGTCGAGTGCCGGCCGGGCAAATACCGTCGCTTCGACGGGCTGTGCAACAACATTGAGCATCCCACCTGGGGCGCGGCGAACGCGCCGTTTCAGCGTCTGATCGGTCCACTCTATGCGGACGGCATCAATGCGCCGCGCATTTCGGTAACCGGTCGCGAATTGCCCTACTCACGTGTGGTCTCGCGCACAATGCACCCAGACGATGGGTATCATGATCACGCAGGCACCGTTATGGTCATTGCCTGGGGCCAGTTCATGGATCACGACTTTACGCTGACTGGCACGCCTCTGGGTAGGTCGCTCGACCTGTGCGCATTGTACAGTTGAATAGAATCCGATTCGCTCTCATTACAGATCCCATCAATCGCAACGATCCGGAGGAGTGCTGCAAGCGGCCGCTGCACAAGAAGCATCCATATTGCAACGAGATACGCATCCCCGACGACGACTACTTCTATCGGCTCTTTAATGTCAAGTGCATTGACTTCGTGCGCGGCTTCCCCTCACCCAGGCCCGGCTGTCGCTTGGGTAAGTTAAGCCCAGTAATGGCCCGATGATTAATACTCATGCCCTGCCTTCCAGGCTCTCGTCAGCAGTTCAATACCTTGACCGGTGTGATTGATGCGAACACTGTGTATGGCGTTAAGGAGTCGTTTGCACGCAAGCTGCGCACCGGCTACGGCGGCCTGATGCGCATGAATCCCGTTTTCCAGGAGTACGGCCTGAAGGACTTGCTGCCGCTCAAGCTGGACATACCCGACGAGGGCTGCACGCGGCCCAACAAGAGCATGTACTGCTTCGAGGGCGGAGAGATCCGAGTCAATGAGCAGCTAGTGCTGACCTGCATGCACACGCTGATGGCGCGGGAGCACAATCGTCTGGCCACGGGCCTGGCCCAGATCAACCGCCACTGGGATGACGAGACGCTGTTCCAGGAGGCGCGCCGCATCAACATTGCCATCGTGCAGCATGTCACCTACAACGAGTTCCTGCCCATCCTGCTGGGCAAAGAAGTGATGGAGAAGTTTGGCCTGGTATTGCAGAAGGACGGCTACTGGGATGGCTATGATCCGAATGTCAATCCAGGCATCATTGATTCGTTCGCAGGCGCTGCTTTCCGCTTCGGTCACTCCCTGCTGCCCACCGCCGTGGAGCGCTGGTCCAAGGCTCACAAGTTCATCGCCTCGAAGCGCTTGTCGGACCTGATTCGACGTCCATACGATCTGTATAGAGCCGGCGTGCTCGACGAGTACTTTATGGGTCTGATGAATCAGGTGGCGCAGGCCATGGACGACTCGATTACCCAAGAGGTCACCAATCATCTCTTCAAGAAGGAGGGCGCACGCTTCGGCATGGACCTGGTCTCGTTCAACATGCAGCGTGGACGCGAATTCGGCATACCCGGCTACATGGAGTTCCGCAAATTCTGTGGCCTGCCCACATCCAACACCTGGGACGAGATGTACGGCTCCATGCCGAACGAGACTGTTCTGCGCTATGGCAGTATATTCGAGTAAGTAGTTGATTATATTGCTGGGTGTTACTCGTGAATCATTCGCTCCGCCCACTTAGACATCCGGCTGATATCGATCTCTGGTCTGGCGGCGTGTCGGAGAAGTCGCTACCAGGCTCCATGCTGGGACCCACGTTTGCTTGCATCATCGCCACCCAAATGAGCTACTTGCGGCGCGGCGATCGATTCTGGTACGAGCTGCCCAACCAGCCCTCGTCCTTTACGCCCGAGCAGCTGCAAGAGATACGCAAGGCCAAACTCTCCCGTTTGATTTGCGACAACACCGACTTGATCGATACCGTACAGATATATCCCATGGTTCTGCCAGATCACGAAATGTAAGTTAATAAATGCTGATCTCAGCTGATCTGATGTTATGTGGGATAACTTTCCTCTAATCCATAGCAATCCTCGCGTGCCCTGCAAGAGCGGCATCATACCCTCCATCGATTTGAGCAAGTGGGCCGACTTCGGCAACCAAGGCCTGGACCCGTCTGTCTATGTAAGCCAGTCGAATTTCATTATATAAATATATTTAATAATGTATATTCTTTCTACTCTTAGAACTACATCAACGAAATACCCGAAACGTTGCTCAACTTTAGAAAGTAAACATCATTTTATACAATCCATTTCTGTACACCATTTTGGACGTCTCTCTACACCCTTGGCAAAGAAGAAACCCCACACATCTACAACATTTAGTTTTCCACTCTCTTTCTCTCTCGACTCTTTGGATACTCTTCACGTCTTCCACTATCGCTTAGTCTCTTCAGCTAGTCTTCTCTCCCGCTGCCACGCAATCTTCGCTCTGATACATCCTAAAGCCAGTCAGTTGTAGGTTCACACTGCCATTTTCCATAGTGATTTCCAACATTTCCATGCATTATCCATACATTTTTTGTATATATGTATTATTTTTAAAAATAGCAAAAATACAGGGTAAGTGAAAAAAGTAAAGAAAAGAAACGAGGAAGGTCGTCATGACACGCAAGGCCTTGAATAAATAAAGTTAAACCATACGGATATTTCGTTTGTAAGTTTTGTATATGCAAAATCTAAGATTTAAATAAAATAAAAACAGAGTTAATATTTGTTCAAATTCTTGTAATTGTTTAATGCTGGTTAAGACTATTAAGTATAAGTATGCATATAAGTAGGTGCTATAGGAACTTCATCGGTTACGTGTTGTGCGGCAAACCCATGCTGAGATTTGCCGGAAACTCTAGGTAAGTATTGTGTTAAAGCCATTTAATCGTATAGTAAGCGCCAGTTTCAGTGTCGTCGTCGTGTCATCGTCGTCGTGGTATTCATCAGCCAAGATCGTGTTAAGCATCGCATCACATCGCATCGAACCGCATCGCATCGCATCGCATCGCATTGACCCAAAAAACGCGTCTGAGTCACAGGCGATAAATGAGCGCACACACATACACATATACATATAAATAAACTGTTAATACGCGGCAGAGCCATCTTTGAAAGCTCTACTCGAGCGCGTTCAGAAACGGCGCTATAGAGCCGATATCTTCGCAATCGGGAATCGCTTTGCCCTTAAACTTGAGGCAGGACTCGGCACAGGTCTGGCCCTGGAAATAGTCTCCGAACATTTTCTTGCACTGTGCGCAATTGTTGAGGCAAATCTGTATGAAATCAATGCCACCCATGGGATCTACAAATCAAGAAGATGAATTAACCTCCAACGTATGACTACCCCAACCACTCAAGACTTACCAAATCGCTTGCCATAGTGCCCAATCGACGGTAACGCCTCTCCGAACTGCAGCAGGCAGAGAGCGGCCAACGCAATGCTAGCCAGGAGTAGAGTCTTGTTGCTGCACATGGCTGATAAAGGTCAAGATCTAAGTCAAGCAAATAGTTAAATATATATCAATCTATTTAGATAAATATACGATTCAAGAGTGTTTTGGCTTATGGTAGAGTACAGCGCTGCGACCGTTGTCCGCCAAGTGCGTTGTTGAAATAATTAAACGCACGTTTGTCTCTTCTTATTTTATAGGCGACCCAAACACAGATGCGAAAGCTTAACAACGTCAAGAAGTCTGAACGGCAACGGCAACGGCAGCGGCTACAACAACGCTTCAAGCCGGTCTCACAGAGCTCGCCGAACGTCAGAAAGATGAAGAAGAAGAAGAACTACTTCAAAACAAATTCAATAAAATGCCAATTCGCTTGATGTTCTCTATGTAAATTACAATATGTATATATGTATTTGATATATATTAGAATACATATTGATCTCATACTAAATGCTGGCAGCAACCGGCAGAGCCTAATGTATGGGAGTCGCGTGGTCAATCGATTAAAAGGCATTTTAATAACAATCAAAATATTTATCGTCTAACATTAGAATATGTAAATGGGCGATATAAAAAAATAAATTCTAAAAGTGCGTTTTAAGCTATTGTGGAAATAAACTAAAAATAAAATACGTCGAAATTTCATCTATTCAAATTCATTCCAAACAAAAGTAAACGTTCAGCTAAATACTTGAGGGTGAGTTGGCACAAAAATCCCCAGTCTCAAGAGCAAATAGTGACAACAAAAAAACAAAAAAAACTTCACCGACTTTGGGAAAGAAAGCTGAGAGAATCGCACGGAAAGTAACAGCAGGAAGTGTCATGGAATCGGCCAGAGCCCAACTGCAGCCGTTGTCGTGTGTTAAAAACTGTATTTAATGCAAATCGAATGCGGACCAGTTGTAGTTGTTGGCTGCCCAATCAGCGATCGGCCGATCAACCGATCGCTCATTAATTAATAAATGACTGCAGCTTAAAGCTTACAACGTAGAACAGAGTTGGGAGAGCCGGCTAGTCCAGATGCCAGCGGGTGTTGGCGCTGGCGCCAATACGAATAAGTTACGCCCCAATAAAATGCGTGAAATTCTTTTGTTCCAACCGGACACGATGCCAGCGACTGGTTTAGCACGATAGCCAGCCAGCGGCTACACGCTGTCTGGCAGCTTGTCAACGGTAGCGTCACTTCCATTACCCTTCCAGAGGGTACTCCGGCTATGCCGAAAGCTATGCAAGTCATGCAGTCAATCTCTCAATGAATTGCTTAATAAATAGATTCTCTTTACTCTCTAATGCAGTTTTTGTATGCCTCATCGTACTAGCTTAGCCATAAATATTTCCTAAGCTCCTCATCAATATCTTTTATAGTTCGTTTATTTCTGTAAGAGCATCCAAGCATCAACATGCGGAATTTTGTTGAAACTTTGTTTTGTTTACACTTTTGTACACAGTTTGAGCGCAAACAAAATCATATATTAGCCTGTCAACTATGTAAATCGTGGGAAAATATCAAGTTATGTTAATTTTATGCAACTTAGACAGTTTTGTTACCATTATTATTATTGTTATTTTCGAGCTAATTGCTAACACGCGCCGTACGTATGAGTAATGTGAATTGAGTGCTAAGTGTAGCGGCTACGTCACAGACGTTTTGTGGGCGTGCCACTTGAGCGGACAACAGCTTTTTGTTTTGGCTAATTGCTCTGGTGACGTACACGGCACAGCAACAGCACTCGACACTCACCGGTAGTTCGATCTTAAGATCTGGAAACGATTTGTCGGCTTAAGCGCGTACGTGGGTGGGTTCGTTGGCAGAGCGAAGACTCGGCGTTGGCGGCGGGTTTGTTTGCTGAAAACTGGTTCTACACCGACTGTTGCCGCAGTGCAGAGTTCTTAGTGTATTTATATTGTTTGCCTGTTGTCAGGGCAGCTATGGGCAGCTTCCACTGGCAAATTAATCAATTTGTCTCAGAAACAAACACCTAATTGAATATATGCTTGCCAGCTTAACTTACTTCCGCTGGCAGCAGTGGCGGCCACTTTCTTGAGTGGTTTTCTCAGCGGTGCTCGGGCTGGATGTCGCTTATCCAGTTTAATTGCGTTTCTTTCGTCATTGCTGTAGAAGTCGGTACGGACTTAAAGCAGGAAATATAATCTAAGCTGGTTCAGCTTATAGGGATTGCTTTTTCCTTGCCTATAAATCTCGCCAGCTGAATAAATCATGAGTGCGGCCTAGTAGATCAGCTGACTTGTCGTTAAAATCTTAATTCTTAATAAATTTTGTATTTAAATTTTATATTATTTTATTCATATTGGGTTTTAAATATCGCTAGCCTCTGGTAAACATACATACAAGACTTTAATTTATGAACTGCTTTGCACTGCTTGCACTGCTCAGTGTTGAATTGCTTGTTCACATAATAGATAGTTGGTTGATTGTATGCGGTTACAGAAGTATATAAATGATTTATATTTATATATTTTTTTTTAATTTACCATAATACTTAAAAGAATATAAAATAAGGTTTATAATTTTTAATATTTATCTGTAATTTATTTTGTGTAAGAGTGACTTTATATGCTTATTCTTGTTTTCAAATAATTTAACTGCTTATTACGTCTGTCCTGAACTGCTTACATTTATTGCCAATGTGGCAGCTCTCTTGCGTAGCTTGCAAAAATTTCCGTTAGATGGCGCCACTAGGTCCGTTCATGAATTTTTCTAAATTTTATGATTTCATATCTAAATTACTATTATTATTTTTATGGCTATGATAAGTATAGAGCATGACTAGAAGCAAAAAATGTAAGGTTAAGAAGCATCGTAGGCAAATCTATAGCTATATGAAAATCTTTAACTCTAGCTTAAACAACTCACTTAGCATATAATATTACTCAAAGTTAAGAAATATGTATGCTTCCGCATTAGTTACTTAAATCTTTCTAAAAGAATGTGCATGGACTTAATAAGTTTGATTGCCGCTTATAATGGCATCGCATAACGGGGAGAATAAGCCAAGTTTAGATGCAGCTATAGCCCCAAACAGGCAATCAACGGCGCTTCAATACAAATCTCATTATTAAAGTGTTGGCCAAATTAAGTTTCTCCCGGGCGTACGTGCGCCGTGAAGTTGGATGATGCCGGATGCTGGTTGCCCTGTGGTTGATAGCCATTTGCTGTTGAAATTCCACAAAAGCCAAAAATTTTCTCCACTGACCGGCATTTGTGAGTGTCTGCGAGAGTGTGTGCATGTGTGTGTGTGTGTGTGTGTGTGTAACCACATTGAAAGTATTGCCGCACAACAAACATCAGCGGCTACGAGCTGCAGAAACTTTTATTAGGGGCTCGGTGCTGCTGCACTCGCGGCTCAGCGGGTAAATCAGCAAAAGATTTTCTTCAATGCAGTGCAATTGTATTGTATTTTCTCTTCCTTTTTTTTTTTGCTCTCTTTCAATTTTTTTTTTTTTTTTTTTTTCATTTTATTTTGCAACAGCAACTTTTATTTTAAGCCAAGACAAGGTTTCTCTGCGTTTATTTATGAGCTTTGCTCGCAATCGATGCGTTCGTTCATGTGCCCCAATGCATTGCAACAGTTTTTCTTATCCTCTCCGATACGCTCGACGAACGCTCCATATTTCAGTGGAGTCGGTCACGTAGGCATTCAATTTTGAAACAGACAATACGTTCATTGTGCCAGTGATTTGAGCTTAAAGATATATTGGCAGCGGGCTGCGCCTCGAGAGCATGACAAAGGCACAATGAAGCCTATTTGCTGCCTGTTGGCTGCAAACTTTCCCAGTGCGAGCAAAACTTTATTTAAATGCTCTCATAATCCCTGCACTTTGTTGGCCAGTCACGCAGATGGCAGGGTCAGCTGGAAGGGACTAATGAGATACTTAAAAATAGTTTCACCTGATAATAATAGACAGCCGGAGATGGACACATGGCCAAAAATAATAAAACGAGCGCATTAAAATTAATTGATAACTATGCGCCCGTTTCATGCCCAACTGAGTGAGTGAGCAGTGGAAACTGAGCTCCTCATCGTGTCGTATGCGTAATTAAGCATAGAATCCTCTCCTCACCCTTTTGACCTTCTCCGGGTCGCCGGCGGGACATGTAAAAAACGTGTTAATCCACAAACTAATTTGACGTTGACGTGCGGGTTTTAGGGGTAGACGAGTTAATTGTTTTTCGACTCACTTTACACTTTACACTGGCGCTGTTGTGGGGCTTTAAAGCTGAGTCATTAGAGCGTTAACAATTTGTGCGCAGAGCCATTAAAGCCGGAGCTAAAGGTAAACGTAAAGTTAATTGCGTGGCCAGCTAACAATAGGTCGCATCTGAAAATTGCTGCAATTCAGCTTAATGCATCAGGTTCCGCATTCAATTGGCGTCAACTTGCTTCATGTTGCCATCTCTGCGGGTGCTGACAAAAAGGCGACATTCAGGACAACCACCCACCGCCCACCTCCCACCGCCCACAGCACAGTGCCACTTCTGCCCAGCCTCGCTCAATGTGCTCAAAATGAAATCAGTGAAATGCTGGAAATTAAAAAATAACGAGATAATTAAAAGCTACCCCGCAGTTATTTGCGTGTGTGTCCTTTGCGCACGTAAAGCAGCTTAAGTAGCGGCATTGTGGCCGCCCTTGTGGGATGCTGTTCTTCCAGCTGTTGTTGTTGTTGTTGACGTCGCGTCGCCTTGCTAGGCCATCCGTGAGTGCCTGAGTGTGTGCGCCTCGCCTCGCCTCGTCCCCGCACTTATCCACAGCGGAGCTGATAATCATGTCAGTTTCTTCTGCCACATTGTCAGAGCTATTCACTCAGCTCAAGCTCAGCTCGCTTCCCCATCATTGTTTGGTAATTAATATTTGCACAAGCTGAAACTCAGGGGCCTAATTATCTAACTGAAGCACTTAACAGTTATTAATGGATTTCAATGGAATCATAAAGGTGCAGGAGTGAGCTGTTCCCATGTAAATTAATGATGGGCTAACCAAGTTGGGCAATCAAATAATGAATAACAGAGAATAGACAATACTCAATACAATGCATTACAATGACACTTACTCTTCCCTATCTCTCTCTCTCTCTCTCTCTCTCTCTCTCTCTCTCTCTTATTTATGCTAATAAGAAGAAGTACCTTAGCACAGCATGTATGATTTATTTGAATTAAGATATAATATACGATATTGAAGTTGTGCTTTCGCTTTGATAGATTTCGCTCATTGTATACCCTAGTACACTAACATTCTTACCCACAAGTGAATAAGCAAATACGATATTCGATTTAACATGTGATCTGCTTTCTCGCTAATATGTTTTAGCGAATGGTATGAGAAATACGTACTATATTGAGGATATATTATACGATATTTGTTCTTCTACTACAAGTTCATTATTGTATTTATTTAAAAGACCATATAATAATAAAGAAATATATACGATATACCATTATTACGATCTAATATCAGATAATTTAAGATCTGTTGCAGGCTCACCGTTATATTTCATTGTTATATGAACACACCCACAGGAACAAACTTTTAGCTTCATGTAAAATAATGAACGAAGGGAATACTCGATATAATGCGCAGTATATACGATATTCGTACTTCAGCCATTCACTATGCGCTTTTTATTCACTTCACTTCACCCTCACCCGAAAATTGAGCAAAGGATATATTAATACTTATTATTAATACAGCAATATTAGGGATACAATTTGATGGAATACTTGTAGTTGCGTTACCCAGCAAATTAAATAAGTATTTACAGATCAACAATAATGTATGATGTTTAAGTATTTCTTAATTTTATTACGATACGATATTTGGTGTATGAGGTTCGACTGTTGCCATTGCATTCGCTATCGCTGTGCATACATACACACACTCCTTCACACACACACACATGTGCATTTTTTAGCATGCATGTTCGTTAAACGAGCATAATAAACATCTATATAGACTACTTTGCATGGCTGGAGGCAAAATAAATTAAATTTTTAACATTGATGCGTATTTAATTGCTTGCATTATTTGAGTTGTATTATTCGAATGTTTTTGTGCATTCCATATGCATATTATTTGAGTGTATCTTCTGCCATTCAACCATTCACTGCGAATCAAATAAAATCATATTTTATCTGTTTTTCTACGAGTTTGTAGAAATTTATATGCTCAGATATTGCTGCCATAGGCCAACGAATGCAAATCCAAACGGAATGTCAAATATTTTGAACCAACTATTGATTTTTTGGTCAACTGAACTAAATAGAATTTTCGTTATTATGAGGAGACGGAATTGCTAATTTTTAATACCATCAAAGAGTATACAAGGTTCAATGACAGCCGGCGACTGCAATTAAACAATGACATGGAAACGGAAATCAAACAAAGTGCAAATATCTGCCTCCTTCTCTCGTTCTCTCCCTGCCATCCCTTTGCATCTATTAATTCAGTCATCGAGCAATGCCTGTCAATTACGAGTAGTTGTTTTAATGACCACAAAAATTGACCAAGACTCGACAAAAAAAAAAAAAAAAAAAAAAAAAAAAAAAAAAAAAAAAAAAAAAAGAAAAAGACGAAAAAAATACAAATGATACACAATTAGCGCACATTCAGGAATTCACTAATTAAGTTTATAATATTCGCACACATGTAATTACAAGTAATTACTGCGTGAGCTGAGTGCAACAACTAATTAAGCTCTATCTGTAGTACAGTTGACACAAAAAGTTTGCGGTTTGTGACACTTATCGATGGACGTTTCTGATTATCAGCAATTTCAGCAAATGCTTAAACTTTTATAGTCGAATGTGTTGTGCAGAATAGCATATATAAATCAGAAATAATTAATGTCTTAATAATGACATTAATTATTCATTGCCAAAGAAGAGCAAGGAAGTTCTTATGGACTCATAAATTATATAGTTCGCCCATTGATAAGTGGAAAATCGGAAAATTGTATTGCACAAAAATGAATCTAGGTTATTTTTGTAACTTGCCGAATGCTTTGCTACGTCTGTCAATTTCCAATTTATTTTACATGATTTCTGTACTTGAAGTAGAAATTGCAAAGCAAGAAGAAACAAAATAGCTGAATACATTAAGTTCAGCTGCCTATTTTCAAAGTCTAAAATAGTTTAGTTATTCGTTTCTAGAGTTTATATTAAAACAACAATCACATGTAGGTATATACATATGTATTTATATGTACATATATATTTATTATTAAATATCCGCCAAAAATACAATGAGTGAATATTTACAAATTTTAAAGTCCTACTTAAACTAATGGGAGATTAAAAATAGAATATAAATTATACACAACAATATTAATATATATTTAATAAATGTATTTTACCTAAAACATCTGACAGATATAAACAGAAATAGAAAATAAAATAATTGCAAGTAATATTTAAGAGAAAACTACATTGGATGTAGGCCATCAGCTAATTACATTTAAAGCCAAAGCTAATCACCCAATATAGATTATTTGCGAAGATTTAATGGATCTGACTCGGCTATTAAAAGTATATTGAAACCAGCCTGAAAGCTGAGAAAGCTATAATATATAATATAAAATAATATTACACGTTTGAATATAATAAGAAACAATGAAGACTCTATTTATTATATATATTATATATTTGCTGCTTATTTATTAGTCAATTAAAATAATCAAAGTCTGAACAATGAGTATGTGCAAATCAAACTGAATAGAAAAAATAAAAAATTCAAAATTAAATTATTGAAGAGTTTTAGACCATTAATTATCTCTCTATCAAATAATTGTATTATAATTTAGTATTAATTTATTTATTTTTTTATTTTCATAGTGTTGAAAATCGACATTTGTATATGTATGTATGTTGACTTAATCAATAATTGAAGGCTATAGTCCAGCACCGTGTACTTTATTGACATCATTATTAGAGCTTTGATTGAGCAGCAGCTCGACGATGCAACACAATAGTGCAACATTATTGCACTGGCCCAATCGTTTCTTTGAGGCGAGATTGCTGTGATATCGCCGTGCTGTGTGTCGCATTTACGGTACACTAAACAACAAAGGCCGCCATCCCAGATGCTGTCGAGTCTTAGAGGAAAGGGAGACTCAGAGGCGAGAGTGCAGGCCCATGATTACAGATAATGACAATTGTCGAGTCGTTGGCCGAATGCAGTCACAGCTCGGATGGGGCAACTTCAAAGGGAGCTGGAGCCGCGCGATAAATAAACCGCTGCATAGCCACAGGCGTTGGCAGTGCGAAGGGGCTTAAAGCCCGCATATCAGTTATTCAAGTTGAGCTTAAAGAGGGCTGACAACAAACTGTTTATTGAATCTGCCGCCGCCATTTTCGGCGTTGGCCCAAAAATAGCCTTGAAGTTACTTTTAGGAACTTGCAGCGCCAATGTCCGTATCGTGCGGCATTGTGAAACTTTTCTGGTGCTGGAGCGCTTTTTATTTGAGTTTTCACTTACCTTGCGCTTAAGTGTTCCATCGCCAGGGCCATTTGCCATTTGTTTTGGCACAGCACGCCCAACAGGGGCAGCGGCAGCGGCAGCGGCAGCCGTGGCCTCCTGCCACCCAGATGCGAAAACTTTGCTCCAAAGGTAGCCTAGGCAGCTGACAGGCAGCTGGGCGTGCGGGCTACTTTTATGATTATTGCTTTCTGTCGCTGCCGCCTCGGAATGAAGGTATTTGTATCTATGCGGATGATTGTGTATCTTCTTACGGGCGGTCTTAAGTGCGCCTTAATGTGGATTTTAAGCATTTCTGGGCATAAGCTGCAGATTTAAGGTGCCCAGTGTTGGCGTGCCGCCATTACACGGCGACAACCCCTCTTTGCACATGCTCTTCCTCTCTCACTCTCTCTTTCATGGCAGCCCTCCGCCTCTGCTACAGTCTTTCTCTGTGTCTGCCTTGAGCCGCACTTCACTTTGTCTAATTGTAAAATAAATAAATGAAATAAAAACGTGAAGTGGCGCGAGCTGCAGAACATGATGCTAAGGAAATGACAAATTGTGCACGAGCTGCAACGTCTGGCAGCTAACCGCGCACTTTAATGCACACACACACACACGCCAAGAGAAACAGCTGTCAAAAATAATAAATCAGCATGGTGGATACATTGAAAAATGCAAGGTGTTGCCTGCCAGCTTGGCAGCTCTCTTCGCCAAAGACAGTTGAGGCAACAAACAGAAAGCTTTCAATTTCTGGAGCAGAGCACTAAGCAGTCAGCCGACAAGGCGATCCCGACACTTGGCTGACTAGCTGACTAGCTGAGTAGAGGACTGCCAGACAGCCAGACTGCTAGACTGCCAGGCTGACAACCTGACTGACAGTACTCGGTTATAAAACTCGCACAGCAACAACAATCAAAAGCAACCCCTGCAGCGCTTTGCAGCTTTCATCGCCTGAGCTGCCCCTACTCTCTCTCTCGCTCTCTCTCTCTCTCACTCTTCCAAAATCTGTGGCCAGCATCATCTCCACAAGAGTCGACGAAGTTGTTTAAGTACTTTGCGGGCAAAATGGCTTGCCGCCGCAATTTAGATAAATTTTAATTTTAATAAAGTGTTTGCGCTGCACTCCCGGCACACTCCAGCTGATACTCATAGGATTATGAATTAATTATATCAGCCAGATGCTGGCTTTGCCCTGTTTGGTGTAGTTCTTCTGGCTTTCAGCTTACGCCTGTATTTCACATTGCTGCACAGGTCTGAGCATCTGTCGCGTGCCCTTGGGTGGCGCAGGCGGCGAGGCGGTGTCAGATAGTAATGTGAGCGCATTTTTATGATCGCCTTTTTCTTCATGCCGCACTCGAGGGCTTCCTGGACGATCGTGTTGCAAGCGCTGGCGGGAAATCCGATTCTGGCGCTGAAGTAGTTGACCAGCTGGCCAAAGGGGATGCCTCTGCCGATCTCATCGAGCACATTCAACACCACATCAATGGACGTCTTGATGGTAGCATCGTGATAGATAAGCGCCATGAAAACTATTCAATTTTTACTGAAAATTTCTCTTTGTTTTTTTTTTGACCTGTTTTGCTTGGATAAAGGAAAATAATAAATGTTTTCAGGGGAACTCTCTCTCTCTCTCTCTCTCTGTATATATATATATGTCGAAGAGCAAGTAGTACTAATTTGTTTGCGCGCATTGTAATTGTGCTTCTATTTCCCTTTATGCGTGCCTTCGAACTTGTGCGAGTGTGAGTCGAGCCTGTGTGTTCGATGCCCTTGAACAAAGAATGCTCTATGACAGAGTATGGTGGTTGTTTTGGTCACACATGAGCGCAACCTACATAGTGAAATTATTGAGAGTATTTGGTGGTCAGTATGTGAAATAAGAGTTGTTTGCTATTTCACAACTATTGTAATTTCATAAGAGTATTGCATCAGCCGTTTG